CTCCAATTATCACTGTTGATTAATACATTTAAAAATATAGCATAAGAACGAAATAAAGTGTTGTATTTGTAGAATAATTTTTATCCATTTATCACTTTACCTGTTGCCTTAGTTCGACTGTTGAGAGGTCTGTCCTGATAATAGTAATAATATAATGTAGTGCACAGTGCACAAATTATGCATGTGAACCAACGAATTTAATGTCTCTCATTTTTGCTCATGTAGAATGAGTGGGTGTGGAGGTTAATAACTGCGACCTTAAAAATACCTTGTGTCCCCTTTTCTTGAGTTATAACTCATCATACAGTTTATAACAAATCATATATGTTGTAGGAAGGACAGCGTATTTCCCATCCTTCTCTGACAATAGATGTTCTTTCTCTGATGGTATACACCCTTCTAAGGTTGGGGTTTGGCCAAATACGTTTAAAATAAAGTTTATTAGTTATTAATATATTAATAGTTTATTTAAACGTATTTGGGTTTGGCCCTCCGTGCCGTTCACAGTCGAGGAGCTTGTCTCCGGTTGACGTTCCCGTGAGGTGGAAGCTGGAGGATCTGTCATTTCATTTTCTCCACCTCTTTAACTTCGTCTCTCCTTAGACCTGATACCGGTGTTGTCCCGAATCTATAATATAGATAGATAATAAATAATAATAGAATAGATATCCCTTTTTCTCTATTGCCTCCTTGAATTTAAGGTCAATGCATATTATGAGGACATGAGGACATGACCATGACCACGGCCGACTCTAAACGGGCCGTGAACAGGGACCCCGCGCACTGTTGCCACATTTTAGATAGTGGTCTACTTTAATTTCGAGGCGTAAACGACTTGAACAATGATTTAGTGCCTAAAAAGAGAACAAATAGAAAAAAAACTATAGTAACATAAGGGTAACATATTTATAGAACCTCGAGCGGTAAGTATTTCTTCGCTTCCCTGTTAATATTTTAGCAATTCCTGTAATCGAAAAATACAATGAATAGATAATAATGTTTTTATTAAAACCCCACTGCGTTTACAAATACTTCTCATTTGTCTGTGGGGTTTATGTACAATTAATGTTGTCTAACCAGAATGATTGTAATAACAAAAAGGATCTATTTCTAGATAATAATATTTACGTAAAAGTATTTTTTGTTAAAATATTAAAGATAAAATACGGAGTATGTACCTTCACAATTAAAATATACAAAAAAATATAGCAGTGATGGATCAAATCTAATTATACCGAATGAACGAAAAAAAACGGCGTCATGTTAGCTTGGAAATGACAATCGATGATATTCACCATATACCTTTACATATTTAGTGACAGTGATTTAAACTGGCTAAAATTATAAGAAATTTGGATATATAAAAGTATTATATGTGTTATCTGTGGTATTATCTAAATTTTTTAAATTTCGCCAATTGTTAATAATATTTTTAAATAAGTGTACAAAATCGTAGCTTACAAATATTTTACTTTGAGGATAATCTGGATTAGGAAAGAAAGTTGAATTTTTAGTTAAATCTGAAAACATTGAACGATTTATTCTATGGTTATCTGTTATTACGTCTAGAACTGTAAAGCCACATTTTTGAATTAATGTTATGACTTCGCAGACATTTCCAAAAGCCGAACAGATCATAAAAGCTAAAATGGTTGTAGCCAAGGAGTTGTCGTTGGAAGAAACACCTACTAATTTTTCCCCCTATAATCTAACCTTTTACTTATATATATTTCATCAATTAAAAGGCCCGCAACTTTTTCATGAGGTTTTAAAGAGTCCGAGATATAATTTAAGTAATTACATGCAGTTCTGTCATTATCAGTAAAATTAGAATACACAGTAGGTGCGACATCAAAACTTGACGAAAGATTTTGAAGATATCTCTTTGTTGGTAAATTGAAATAGTCCCGCAATAAATCGTATGCGCAAGGGGAAACTGTATATAACATAAAAGACATAATTACAGTGTCAGGTGAATATCGTTTTTTCTTTAAAATCAGTAACTTCAATTGGTCAATTAAAGATTTATGTTATTTACTAGCGATGGGAATTATCGAATGAATTAGACTATCGAATGGTTACTGAATGAATGATTTCAACTATCGAATGGTTTTATTCGAATAAAATCATTCATTCATTTGTATACTAAAGCATATGTGACAACCTCGCCGTGACTAAATGGTTATCGTTGAGCCACGACTATTTGTGATGCTATTTTGTTGTTAATAGGTATAACAAATTATTACTGTTATTATTATTTTTATTAAATCAGTCTTTGCTTAAAATCATTAAAAATCATTTTCCTACATCCAAAATAACAAGTATTATTGCAGTGTAACAACAGAATATTAATAAAAAAAATGCAAAATATATAGACATACTATCCCTAACTAACTAAAGCCAAACAATAATATTCTTTGCTAATATCAACTAATACCAATATATGGCAACAGCGCCCTTCATAATGTATTTTCTGTGTAAATACTAGCACCCCAATAAAAAAAATAATGTGTCCTTATCTTTATATGACTCCGCAAAAAATCAAAGATGCCGGCTTCTTTCTAGCATTGCCACCGACCGCTGTCGGGTATCTCGGAAAGAAACCTACGTCGCCGGGCGACACCTAAAATCCAGTTAATATTTTATTATAATCGATCCTGACCAATAAATGAATTTCATAAATGAATGAATTTTAAAAATGAATGGTTTTTGCTGCCGAATTACTAGAATACAATATTTCAAGGCAGATGACGCATCTATTCGATAATTTTTATTCGAATAGTTTTCAACGAATGTTTTCTTACTAGCTATCGAATTATTCGAATGAATTGCAACTATCGAATGTTTCGATAGTATTAATTCGATAGTTCCCACTACTATTATTAACACCAGTTTTGTGATCCTCTGAACTATCTTCCAACATTTCTGGAGTAATTTTACTACAAGCCTCATTTAAGCAACATAAACCTTTCTCAATTAAACATTTGAATGATTGGTCAACATTGTAGGAGGGGTCCTTGTATCCCATTAACAGATTTTCTAACTCAGACCATCTAGTTAGTTTCAGATTAAAAGGTAAAATCCAACTTAAATGAAAAACAAAAATCCGGCGACGACAGTTTTTAGAAGGGTCAATTAGCTATCTTTTAGTAAAAAAAGCAACTTTCTAGAGCAAGTCGTTACTTCAGTAGAGACGACACAGATAAACCTTAGCATTTTATATACCTATGTAGATATCTGATGTTTCAAAAATGTCATTTAAATGTTCTTGTCGATCTATAACGTCCTTTCGTCTTTCATTCATGAATTCTTCGTAGGTAATTTTTTTAAAGTACCATCTGGTAAAAGAAAATTGTCCTCCCTAATAATATCACTTACAGGAAAATGCAAACCACAAACAACTGAATATTTTGAAGGAGACCAATTTTCCCGTGATATGGCTTTCAACCACTTACCTCTTAATACATCAGTTTTAGGAATCTGAAATGTAGATACAGATTACTCTCCAGCATTTATAGTGCTTTTATAATTGGATTTACATCCAGGGACACAACAGGTTTTCGTCATTACTTCAAATTATACACATAAACACGATTATTTTACCGAATATATAGAATGTTTTTTTAATAAAACTTATAACTAGCACGTTTGTAACACTTCGCCAAACGGAATATATCACTTTTTAGTTTATAACACTTTATATTATAAGTTCTATAATTATTATTAGTTAAGAAAGCATCAACAACCGGCCGGTAAAATATACATAACCTTAAAACTAATGTGGCGCGATAGCCCACCAAGCCTTGTTGCCGTGATTTCCTATTTCACGGCTTTTTCAATACAGACGGCTATGCCATGACCCTCCTCCCTCGAGTTGATGACTCGCCAACTCGATGTCCTTAACTTGGAGTTCTGAGCCTGGATAAAGGCTCAGCAGCTAGGTGGTATCTTTCCCCTTGCTTCTCGGCAGAAATAATGGTCTCCCTTTTAGGATATTTTCTCCCTTCAGTGCAACCAGTCCCGGCCCTTAACAACTCTTAATCTTAGGTGCCGTTTCCATCAACCAATCCGCCGATTCTTAATCCGAGATAGACAATCTATGAGAAGCATGCCCACACGAAAGTGTATTCCCGCAAAACGCAGCTGACCCTTTTCTTTCTTTAAATTTATTTATGCCAAAAAAGAGTAATCATAGATTTGAAATTTGTACACAAAAACCGTATTCTCTAGAATAAAAAAATCGTATTTCAGTAGGTATTCTGTATCAATATTGAATCATTGTCTACCAAGTTGAAAAAAAGTAATTCTAATTAATACAAGGCTTACACAAGGCCTAACTATATTTATCTTAGGTCAAATTGTTTTCCAAATCAAACCAAACCAAATATTATTCACTTAATATTCCTTAACAATTTTAATTAGTGGAATATATTGCCTCTGAAAAATAGTTGACGAAACCTGGACACCAAAAAATGTAGAAAGAATATTTTCAATTAGATACGCCATCTTTTTTTTTCGACATATAATGGATTAACGTCGTGCCTCTGCATAATAGCGTACTCAGATAAAAACTAATACCATACAAGAAGACCGAACAACATAATATTAAAAATTTTGATTGAGCTCTATTTTGGGAGGCCTTGTAATAATTGTTTTAGGTTACCATAACGCCTTTTTTCACCGAAGGATTTTAATGTTTTTGTCTTTGTTACACACACTGTTACACTGTATTTATAATGTAATTTAGTATTCTGTTAGATTAAGATGAAAATAGAAACATGACATAGATTTAATATTGTTTTTAGTTTTAGTTATTGGTGGCAGTAATGATTTTCTTCTTCTCTAACAAAAAGTCCATCAAAAAAAGTGTCATTGTTAAAGATATATTGTGGAGAAAGATTGGCAACAAAATTTTTTTACCAAGTAATATGATTCCAATCTAAAATATAATATGCAAATACAATAAGAAACAAATATTTATTGAGAATATATTGTTACAGGAGACAGTGGATCACATGTTGGCTCTTCTTCAAGTGACGGTAAGTAATCATTATCTATTTTTTAAACCGGGATTGGCCGTTAACATGAGCCCTGTGCTCACATTTTTACGAAAATGTACATATTCAATAGAATTATATGGTCGTGATATTTAGCGCTTATATCCATTTTCCTGAGGAGTGTCCAATTTTAGTTTGGCAGACGTGCTACACTTCACGATATCACGATTAAATTTGCTAGTGGATTTGTTAACGCTGGAGTTACATATTTTGTGATGCCAAGGCGAATTGTTGAATTAACCCTGATACAACCAGAGCAAGAGGATTTTTTTAAGATTGAAACAAAATATAAAAATGTTACTTTTTGGGTCAACTTTTGAAAATTTATAGCGATAATAAAAATCTTAACATTTCTTTGGATTTTATAGCTTTAGAACATACAGCATGTTTAAAAAAAATCATGCCATCTCTCGTGAGAAGATTCTTCCCGAAAAACAAGATGTATTTTTTAAATCAACCTAGGTCCGATTCTGCTACGTCTTTCGTAGCTAGAGGGGGTTAAAGTCTTTTTTTTATTTATTTTTTTTTCAAGTGTTTTTAGCGATTTGAATGAAATTTTGACGGTAAAAGTTATTACAAGTGTTACATATCCAACCAGGGTATTTTGCCACTGTAAGAAAATCTACAAAATAAATATTATATTTTGCAAACACTGCTGCTTTAGTCAAACCACAGATTAGGTATCCTATAAGTATACAGATAAAAATCTTGTCCTTAATTCGTGGTACGAAAATTGTTTTTTATGACGATGTGCAAACGAGTCAAATTTCCTGTGCGCAAAAATAAACTCGCGTAAAATAACAATAAACAGCGTAATAGAGAGATATCGCTAAACCGAATAGCGTGCATGGACGTTAATAAGGCCAGGTGAAATTTCCTTTACGTGAGGTGGTATTAACTTTCTTCATTTATCGGATCGGAAAGAATTCTGATCGCGTCGCGTCCGCTATTTAAACTTAACCTAACTTTGAATTTAAAACTTTGAAATTGTTTTGTTTACTAGGTATTTTAAAACTAAAGGGCTAAAGTGCTTATTTCCAGTGCTTTATTGTTCAACGTCTGCCAGTGGGTTTAGGGCAACAAGCAACAAATTCTCTTAGAAGGGCTAAGTCGTCATCTACTGTAAACCTAAGACTCTTTATAGGTTCTTTAGTATTGGAAGAGGTGGAATCCACATTTTGGGCCATATTTATTTAATTAAAACTAATCCCAGCTACTTAAATATCAAATTACCTAATAAAACTAAAGCAATAATTCAAAACAATTCAAACATAACCTAAAATAAAAGATCTCGCAGGCCGGCTCCGGTTATCAAATATTTAAGCAACTTTTAAACGTTATCAGAGGTTATTTAGAAAGAGCACTTGGTGTAATTGATCCGCAAATTACGTCAGGCGGTAACGTTATTAGAGGATGTTGCGTTAAAAATTAACTCGCGCATATCGTAACCATGATAAGGTACGCATAAATACTGGATGACGCTATTCGGTTTTCCGATATCTCTCTAATAACTGTGCCGATCAGGCGCTGTGCACAATTTTAGAGGCCATAAGTGGGCGTGCTATATGCGCAAACTAGTCACCTAAACTAGTGCCCGATTCAGAAAATTGGAACCACGAAAATCAATAAAGAAAAAACAAAGATTATAATCTGTATAATCTGTGATCAAATGAAGACTAATAATTAATTGCCAGCAGTGGTTTTTTAATAAACAAATTTGCCTAACAGATAAAAAAAATATCTAACGTTTCGGGAAGTATATCTCTTCCCGTTGTCTGAAGCAAAAAAACAAAAGGAACAAAGAAAAGAACTATTTAAAATATCTAAAAGCATTTATTATTCGAGAACACTTTAGTTTTTTTAAACAGACGTTCTGTTAAAATGACAACGGTTAAAGTGACAATGTTCTGTCAGAACGGTTTTTATCAACGTAAAAATGTTTTACGTATAGTTACGTAACTGCCAAGGATCGAAACAAACTGTATATTCGACTTTATGTTGCCGAGGTGAGGTGTATTACAATTAAAAAAACATCATGCTGCATAAAAACGTAAAATATTTGCTATTTTACCTAGTAATATTAAAATAAACTATTTTACATTATAAAAAATAAATCTTCATTTTTAACTTAGGATAAAAGAGATTAATCAATAATTTTTTAATTAGAGTAATAATTCTTATGTTAATGATGACAAAAAAGCGAAACAGTGTCTAGAAAGTCTGTATCATAATATCTTTCATGTACATTATAATTTTCTTTGTTTAAAAGACGCAATAACGACACATTTATACCAATAACGACATGTTTTTTGCTAATATTTCGAAATGGATTCGTTTTGTTTGATCGCTTCTCAATTATTAAAATAAACGTAGATACTTATAGAAACTAATGAATGTTTATATTAGGTTGGCAGTCATATATTTGAATTTGAAGACTTTCCATCAAACTGAATTAAAACCTTAATATCTTAAACAGCCCGGAAAGTGACCATTAAAGATTTTTTTTCAGTTCTCTTAACAGATTTTTCGGTACTTTAACTAAAATCGTTTATCCACTGTATTAATTATATATTTATATTTTAATAATATAAATACCGAAAATAGGCGTCAACTTAAAGGCAGTTGAGAAGACGAACTAAGGAATGTCGATCTCCCGAGAGCACCGTGTATATTTTCGCGGGACCTCCTACTTAACGCTTTCGCCATAGAGAAATATAGAATCTATTGTGTCTCTCTTTTATTCAGTTTCTCTGTGGCTCTAGTCTCCTTTGACTCGTGCTGGAGACCGCCTCTAGACCGAGCGACCTAGTCTATCGCCAAATTGTTAATTTGGCAACAATTATTTGACTTTAGCTACTCATTTGTACAGAAAATAATTATTGATGTACAAGAAATATTTGTGAAAGCAATGCATGTTTAGTATCTTTATGTTTACTTACATAAGCTAACAGTTAATTTTGTAGAAAATATTTTTTTTTATTTTGACAAGTTTTGTGTATAAGTATTTTTAAGAAAGTAAGAAAGACCATCATCCGCATAACTTCCTAATAAATTCTAGATAACATTTAAGCGAGGTTTCAAAAAATGTATTGCCTACGGCACTTTTTTACCCTTCCTTCCTGTATTTTTTATTTTAAAAGTTGGTAACCCTAGACTAATGCCAGTACTAGATAGTTATAACAGCATTAATTTCCTAAATAACCTGAATTTGAAAAAAAGAACGTGAAGATTCCAAGTAACACCTTTTTCTAGAATAATTCTCATATTTACAGCATTTTATGTAGGTAAAGTCTGTTACAGACATATCTAGCGGCATATGTTTGAGGCAATTCATAAACCGCAACGATTTTCCTTTGCAGTCTATTTTCCCACTTTACGATAGCGTAAATTCACGTGTAATTTACTCGGAAACTTCAAATTTGACGTAAATATTGTCGTAACTTTATTATTAAACAATTAGCGGCGGAGCGCGTACGCGCACCGGCTCAAATAAAGCGGAATTTATTGTAGATTAACTGAAATTTAATTACGGAACGGCTTGCATAATTGTCGACGGACTCGAAGTCAACCGACGCAAAGCGCAATAATGCGTGCGCGAACTATCGCCGAGAAAAATGCGTCGGCCGAATATTTTAAAAATGATTTATAAACCTTTCGGCTTTCAAACATTAATTATATCTTGGCTTAGATGTATAATATATCATTTCGTTAAGTCGGCTTAATGGTAAGTGGCATTTCTGAAGTCATAATCGTAACAGAACATGATAACATGTTTAAAGATACGTCGTATTAGAAAAATATCAGAAATAGTATTTGACCATAGAAGTCATAATAAATTTTATCGTTTGGTCATTTCGTATCTATCGCTTATGATGACCATTAGGGTGTAAACAGATATTCATAGATAACTGACTCAAGGTATGTTTAGTAGTAAATCTCTGTTTTGGTTCGTGTTTAGAATATTTTTAAGGCTGATTTTTTATTTTTTCTAAGCTACGGCATGAACGACTAAAAAGGAGTTATAGTAACTATTAAAATGACGATCGATAATAGTTTCTATTATGCCGAATAGCCGATATGCCGATTGATATTTAAACACAACATAATTTACTAAATAAAGATAGAAACCAAATAAAAAAGATGTAGAAAAACACGAAAAACAAAACACCAATCACAGGCAAAATACATACGAATGATAGGAAATCTACATAACATACGAAAATCGTTCAAAATAGAAAATACACTGAGATCAGAAGATGTGATATACAAAATACTATGTATAAAATAAAGATAATTTATAAAAGGACAATTATCGCAAAAAAAGACAATGATACGACCAATAGTACTGTATGCATGTGAAACGTGGACGTTCGTGCAACGGAAAGTTCGAGACTAGAGATTTGGGAAAGGAAAACACTGAGGAAATTTTTTGGAGGAAAGAATATAGACAACATATGGACCAGAAGAACAAATGAAGAATTAAAGCAACCATATCGGGCACCGAGTACAACGGGAGTAGCAAGAGCACAAAGACTGAGATGGCTGGGATACATTGAAAGAATGGCTGAAGCGAGAATACCTAGTATGATAACGAAACGTGAAATAGGTGGAAAGAGAAGAAGGGGTAGATCGAGAATCAGATGGAAAAAGGATGTAGAAGAGGACTGTTGAGAATACAGTGGATGGATGGAGAATAAAGGCGAAAGACAGAAACAGATGGAGAAAGATAACCAATCAAGCCATGAGCCTTTTAGGCTTTTAGAGCTATTATCGCAAACCTAACATTTGTCAGCATTCATGGGACACAGGACACAGAGTAGATTTTAACAATGCAAACATTATAATGCAAGAACCGATGTAGAATGTAGAATGACTGGAAGGGGGTTAATCAGCGCGACATTAAATATATATTGTGTCCCCCTTTCTTGAGTCATAACCCATCATGCAGTCTATAACTCATCATACATGGGGATGTGCCTATTG